GCAATGAGGAGCACCAAGCATGAGATGATTGCGTTTCAATCCAATAACTCCTCTCGGTGTTTCCGATACACGTCATTGCCATGCCCGTGCCCCTCGGCAGCGCAGCGGTCCACTCCACCTTGCATTGCCTCGCTACGGAAGATGGAACAATGTCGGGGGGCGCGGGCGGCGGATCGCGAAACGAAACGGGATGAAAAAGAGAGAGAGAGAGAGAGAGAGAGAGAGAGAGAGAGAGAGAGAGAGAGAGGGGGGGTAAAAAGAGCAACTGCAATACAGCATTGAGGTTCCCGCTGCTCCGTATTGCGTTGGCAAGCGCATCAAACAAGCTGCAGCAGTGCAATCGAGGAGAGGAGCAGAGGACTTCCCCTGGAGAGGCTGCCGCCCGCCCGCAGCCCGCCCGCAGCCCCAATGCAGGGGGCTCCTTTCCTATTCCGGTAGACCTTTGCCTCTCTCCGTCGCCACTGCTTCTTCCCCGGTGGAGGGCGGCGGCAGCAGGCATATGAATGCAGTATGAAGCGGCGAGAGAGAGAGAGAGAGAGAGAGAGAGAGAGAGAGAGAGAGAGAGAGAGAGCTGTGGGAGAAGGAAATGAAAAGAGAGAAAGAAGGTATAGGAAAGAAAAGGGGAAAAAAGGGGGAACGTCGACGCGCCGCCAAGTTCGCGAGACCCAGTGCCCTTGCATATATCTATCCCTTTGCTTTTCCTTTCATGTGCGCCTCGGCGTATCAGGTGGCGTGGCTCGGCAGTAACTCACCCCGCGCGCCCGCCCAGCCGTTTGTCATGTGTCGGTCTTTTATATTTGCCACGAGATGCGCGTGCGGATAAAATAAATAAATAAAAAAAAAGCACACAAGCAATAATAACCAGGCATTTTGAACGTTTCCTCGACTCTCTCCTCCATATCCATCACTTCAACGTTCAGGCAAACCGTCGAGATAAATATACAATGCCTTTAGTAAATTCGGTACAATGATCGAATGTAGCAAACGTGATTCTAGTATTGTTGTTGTTTATCTTCTTTGGTAAAGCAGATAAAAGGCGCAGCCGCTTGACGACACGGGACTGAAGGCTCTCCATTTAGGCCGGATGGCAATAAGTCCCGTATATCTCCGGGCTATCCCTGCGGCTCATCCCTGCGCCCACGCCACACGGCGGCAGCCAGGCAGCAGCCCACGCCGCCCTTAAGACCTTTCGCTCCCAGACGTTATTTTCCCGGAGGCCAAAGCCACGCCAAGCCCTTTCCGCTCTGCCGCTGCAAAAAGTCGATTGTTTCCCCCGAAACGTCCTAATGCGGAGCTGATGGAAAATAAACAATATTCGCTATATAACCCAATATTCCGCTCGCCCGCCCTTTGTAGTCCCGGACGACCAATCACCTTTTTCTGTAACCCCCTCAAATTCCTTTCGCCGGGCCGGTGGCGCCGGTGGCCCCGCCCCGCTGATCCGGCCGGATCCCTCCTCGCTTTTGTTCCTCTGCGGCGAGGCGAGGTCGGGGAAGGAGGGTGGAGTGGGGAGAGGTAGAAGCAGCCTCACCTTCCTGGCGCGCGGAGAGCACCGGGTGCGAGGGAAGTCCGGCCAGCAGCAGCAGCAGCGGCAGCAGCGGCATCAGTGGCACCGGGGCGCCACCGCGGCCGCCGCGGCCGGGGGGGCAGAGGGGGCCCCCCATCCTCAGCGCGGGGCCTGCGGGCGGGCCGCCTCAGCTGGGGCGCACATCGGTCTGCAACAGTGGAGAGAGAGCACATGAGTATAAGAGCGAGTTAGACACACAACAGCAATACACTGCAATAAAAAAGAAGAAGAAGAAAACCACAAAACACTCGTTCAAGAGTTTCCCTTTGTATCCCTCACGCTATGTAGGGGGAAAATATACAGTTTTAATTAGTGCTAATAATTGACAGCTTACAATAAGCTGTGGGTAATCTTTCTGACCAAACTGGAAAATTGCCAAAATTAAAATTAAAATCAACCAAGTTTCTGTCACAAACGCTACACCCGGCTACACCACTCAAGCAAGGAAAACACAGAGCGTGACATATCTCGCAGAGGACGCCATGGTCCTGGCTCCCTCCGCTTCCCGAGAAAATCTCACTTCCTCTCTGCAATGCCATCTGGCCATCTTCACGCTTTAATTGCGAGAGGGGAGGAGGGAGGGCAGTGGGGTGGGGGGTGGGGGGAGCGCGGTGGCCAGGTGATACGGTGCCCTCTCCGGGCCCGCCCGCGCCCGCCCCCGGCCCCGGCCCGGCGGGTGGTCGGTCGGTCCGCGGGGTAAAAGGGGTGGCGGTGAGTTACAAGGTATGGCCACCATTTCTCAATGATTATAATCCCGCTCGGAGCGACGCCTCGCCCTCCTTCCCTTACTGGCGGGGGTGCGCTTCGCTGCGCTATTTTTTCACCCCCTTCCTCTCCCCGCGGTCTCCTTCTCCTGAACCCCGCCCTTGCTTTCTTTTTTTTTTTTTTCGTTTTCCGCCCACCACCGTCTTTGCGCACCGGCGCGGCGGCGGCCACGGAACGGAACGGTGGTGCGGCCCGCCCGAGGCGGCGAGAGGTAAAACAAGGCGTTTGCCTCCAGTTACACGCAGCGCACATAACCGTTACGCTACACGCACAGTATTACTCCGATAGGCAACCCCCTCAAGGCGCGCCTGGCAGGCAGGCCAGGCCGTCCTCTCAGAGCGCGCGCGGGCCGTTGGCACGTCCTCTCACCGGTCGAACCCCACTGACCCAATCTGTTTACATGTGGCCTGCTGCCGCTCAGCACCGCTTCCACGATATGACATCGCGGTTCAACTATGTCGTCCATAAAACCCGAAAAAAAATAATTAAAAAATGCTAATTTGAAATTTTATTGCAATGTTTGGGGAGTCGTGCACTTGAGGTCGCTTTAGGTGAAGTTGTTTTTTTCTTGAGGATGAGTCTTCTTTTGCACAGCCCTCAAAACGGTTGTAAGGTGCGACCATTGTCTCCCGCATGACCAATCATTTATCAGAAGATTAAAACAAAGACGGGGAGGAGAAACCCCCGAAAGGCCCAAAAGGCAAAAAAAAAAAAAAAAAGAAAGAAAAAAAAACAGTCCCCAAGAACGAGAAGGGAATTTCTATGCAACGAGGGAGAGGCTGAAGAAGCAGTAGAGTAGAAGAGCGAAAAGAAAGCAGAGTACCGCGGGTGGGGTAGGGCAGTGGTAGCGGGAGTGTGGAGGTGTGCCGGGCGGGGCGCGAGTGGCGCCGGTACCCACCGACGTTATGTTCGACGTCATACATACCTGGCGAGCCAGGCGCTCAGGCGGAGGCGTTGCTGCTGTTACTATTACCATAGCGAAGGTAAAGGGGAGCAGATAAGATAACGCCTGCTGGAATGTCTGGCCTGCCCGGTAATTATCCCCCACCACCCGCCGCCCCTGTCGCCTTCCACCACCTCCGGCTCGCCTCCACCGCCCCCCCTCTTGCCGCTCGCTCCGCTCTCGCCGGAGAAAATCTTTGAAAGTAATAAGCGTGCTCATTGCGCTCCTGTCGGGATGTGAGCGGGCCGAGCGTCGCGGTGGAGACGACCCCCGAGGAGGAGACAACCCCCGGGAGGAGACAGCAGCGCTGCCAAACTAAACGCTGCAGCGCCGTTAAACAAATTGCTGGGCGCCTGCCGTCCCTTCCCCTTGTTTCGCCAGGTACTCAGGAGAAGGCGACCCTCGCCTTCCTCCTGCGCCGCACAGGGGGAGCAGCGCGCGAGGGAAAACGACGCTCACATTTCCCTCCATAACCAAAAGTGGGGGCCCCGCAGGAGCGGGAGGACCCAGTTACTCTTTACCGCGCAGTTAGTTGGGATAATGCAATGCCAACGTTAAAAGTAGAGACTACTTGTTGGAAAAGGAGAGAGAGAAGCCCCGACGGATTATCCTCACACCGAAGAAACACACGATTGTCAGGCCGATCATCGCAGACACGTGAAGAAAATGTAACACGACGTAAAAATAATTGTCTCAAATTGAATTTCATAAATATCGATTGGAGAACAGTACTGTAAATTTTCAAGCTAAAAATGATTTCCCGCGCAGACAATGTTTCCCATGCCCCAAATGGTCTTCTCTGACAGTCGTGACTATCCGCGAGATGAGAAATTAAGCACATCTAGCCGCTCAAGGCGCTCAAGCTACAAGGGGTGTAGCTGCGCACCATTTTGCTCTACGACGGCAGTTCCCGACCCCTCACCCCGGACGCCGAGCCGGGTTCCCCCCACGATTAAGAATGTTCAAATCGCGCGCGCGTCACGTCCTGGGATAATTAAGGCGGGGGGTCCTTGTCCGCCTCGATTCAAAGCGGTACGCAGCCGCGGCGCCGCGCCCCCGTCTCTGCCAATTAAAGTCACGCTTTGTCTTGGCGAGGCGGGCCGAGCGCGGGGGCTTTCAGTCTGACAGACATTCGCATGCATTTCTCGCTCCTTTTAGTCGAGAGACGAAAAAAATATATATAAATGAAGCAGCGAAGATAAGCAGCAAAGGGAAGGTGTTCCAGTTAAGCTAGTGCAAAGTCTGACGGTTCAGAGGAGTTGTTGGTACGGCGCGATCGTGAAAGAAGTCTCCTTACGCGCGGGACAGCCGCGCGCGGGTGCTGGCGGGGAGGCTGAGCAAGTTGATGGCTCCAATTATCTCGTTACAGGGAGCGTGAGTGTGGGGCCCAAAGCCAAGGCCCTGGGCCAGGCTGCTCCGCCCCACCCCATTCCCCGGGCCCTTTTTCATTTGGCAGATTAGGGTCGTGGAGGAAGGGTAAAGGAAGAGGGTCGGATGATAGGGTTCGGGTCGCCAAGACGGCGACCAGCAGCGAATTGATGAGAGACTACTCTACGTCGCGAGTGCGAGAATATGTACATGACGCTGACGGTGCATGGGTGCCTTTGAGTAGCCGTTCACAACATTAGAAAAGCAACAGTTTTAAGTCGCAACTTTGAAGGGGTACTTTAAAAATATTAAGTGCCTCTAAAGGCACTAAAAAGGCCCAAAAGGTGCCTTTGTTAATATTAATTAAACTCTGGACACATTTTTGAATGTGTTGAATGGGATCGACTTAACCCTTTTTTGTTTTTCCAGTGAAGTCCAACATCTTTCATCCTCTTCCTGCTTCCTCATTTTGAAACCTTCCGCACTATCAGCCACCAGCGCCGTGGTGATGAGTCCCTTTCCGCTCTCGCTCCCGCTCTCTCTCTCTCCTTCTCGCCATTCATGAGGACGGCTGGTGCTGCTGCCTGATTTGCGCTTGATTAAAAATGCCCGCTGAGCTGAGATCGCAGCGAGTCGGAATGGGACGGCCGCCGGCAGCAGCGCCCTCCACCTTCACTATTTGCCTCAATCTAGATGTCAGCGCCTTGTTTTTTTCTCCTCTCGCTTCCTCTCACTATTCCTCTTCCCGCTTATCTCCGCTGCCCGTCTCCTAGCCCCGCCTGCCGTGTTTCATCACAAAGACGAAACATTTTTGTAAATCTTTCCTCTTTTTTTTAGTTGTTTCCTGCTGCTTTTGAAAGCAGCTGCTGGTTCAGAGGGCTCCGCTCGCTCCCCGGCGCGGCGGCTGCAGAATGATGTTGATTATGAAGGTAGGAATCAAACGAGAAGGCAAGTCAATCCCATTTCGGGTACGCGCCCTCTTTGTTTGAAAAAGGGATAAACCACGACAAAGGCCCGCCCACAGCAGCACTCTACTCCTATCTACTCCTCCCCTCCTCACCCCTCTTTCTCTCTCTCTCTTGCAAGAACCACTCGACCCGCCCACTCCCACACCTTTTTCCCAATCGTCAGCTGTCCTCCTCTCATGACTGCATTAGAGCCGTGGCCCGTGCGGTGCAACTCGTTATCCCCTTCCACACGCAGGAGCTGCAGGGGCCCTTTTGTGCTGCAACAAAAGTTTTCATGACGCCCTACAGGAGCCCGTCGTCCCTCTCTCCCCCTACAGGACGAGGGCCTGCAAGGACGAGTGGCGCCAGCAGCAGGCGACGACGGCACGGCGCGGCGTGGCGCGGGCACGCGAGGACGACAAGAATGCCTCGTTTCGTAAACACAAGCGACACAATACGCCACCTCCTTCCCTCTCTTTCATCAGCGCGTCCGGGAGGGACAAAGTTTTAGTGACCCGACTGTTTGGCAGAAGCAGCAGCGGCGCGCGGCAGTCTGCTCCTCGCACACTCACGCAACATTGTAACAATTGCAAGGCATTCAGCGGCCGGGAGAGGGGGAGCGGCCCCGGCCAGCTAGGCACACGACGCTGGCTTGTAAAACTTCCTTTGTGATGTGATGATTTTTATATGAAAATAAAGTGCTTTGGTCGCGCCTCGCGGATACGCGGCGGGTCTGGGAACTGCAGCATATAACGCACTAGAGGCGGCGGCGGGCTCTTACAACATTGTCTGGGGGCTCCAAGACCTCGGTGCGTGCACGCACAGAAAGTCCAAGTGTGTTAATGTCACACATATGCGGTATTGAGCTAAAAAATTGACACTCTTGTAGATTAGCGACAAGATATTTGCACACTTGCAGCAGAGAGAACTGCCACATTTTACTGGTATACGAATGAAGCTTCGTTCCTAGGACTACTCGCTCGGCTGCAAAATGCAAATATGTCGTAACACAAACACATTTGCGAAAGTGTGATTTCGTTCGCTCACTTGCAGGTGTACGAACATTATTCGCACATTTGTATTTTCAGGGCAGTACCTATCGCGCCCTCCGGGCTCTCCTCGAGCGC